TATATATATATATATATATACTCCCCCGCATTGACTGCGAAAACACCAACTGCGATCATACTACTACACCCGGGATACCAGGAAGTGTTAAAACACACACATACACACACACACACATACGAAGGTCTCTGATCCACGTCTTTAACTTTTCAGCGTAGAGCTCGAATTCGCATATCTGGAATTTCTCGAAATGGGCAAGCTCTCCAAAGTCATGGACAAGCTCAGCATCAAGCCGGGCGGCTCGGACTTGCCCCCAGCGGCTGAGGCTGTGCTGCAGCCTGTGACACAAAAACAGCTCCACCAGACCCGCTTCAATTTCGGCGTCAATTTCGGCGGCGTGTTTGTGCGTGAAAAGTGGATCTTCCACTCCACGTTCCCTGAGGGCACGGACACGGAGTTGGCGGCCGTGGCCAAAAGCGCCCGTGCCGACCGGGCCCAGGCCCGCGAGACTTTGGAGCTGCACTGGAAGAACTACGCGCTGGCCGACGATTGGGAATGGTTGCAAAAAAACGGCGTCAACTCCGTGCGCGTGCCCTTGGGCTACTGGAACATCGACGGGGGCAACTACACCGCAGACACGCAGTTCTCGGCCTACAAGGACATCTACGCCAACTCGTGGAGCATTTTCAAGACACATTACGTGGAGCCGGCCGCACAAAAAGGCATCTCGGTTTTGGTGGATATCCACGGGCTTCCCGGCGGGGCCAATGCCGACGCACATAGTGGGGAGGGCGGCGGCAAGGCCGGGTTCTGGGGCTCGCCCGGCGCGCAGAAACTCATGACTAAGGCGCTTGCGTTTGTGGCCCGCGACTTGCAGAAATACGACAACATCTCAGGCATCCAGATAGTCAACGAGGCCGAGTTCTCGGACCCCGCGCGCCACCAGAAGGCGTACTATGCCTCTGCCATCCAGGCGATCCGCGAGCACGACGCGTCGGTGCCGGTGGTCATTTCCGACGGCTGGTGGCCCAACCAGTGGGTCGAGTGGGTGCAGAAGGCGCAGGGCGACGGCCACTGTGCAGGGGTGGTGATCGATGCCCATTGCTACCGGTGCTTTTCCGACGCCGACAAGAACAAGTCCGCGGACCAGATTGTCCAGGACTTGCACGGGGACTTGCTCACAAACCTCACCGACGGCGGCAAGGGTGTGGACCTCATGGTGGGCGAATGGTCGTCCGTTTTGGACGGCCAGACATGGGCCAAATGCGGCTTGGACCCCAGCGACGGCGCCAACCCCCGCCGGAAGGAGCTTGCGGGCCGGTTCTGCAGCAAGCAGGCGGAGCTCATCCGGCAGAGGGCCGGTGCCGGCTCGTATTTCTGGACGTACAAGTTCGAGTCGGGCAACGGCGGCGAGTGGGATTTCCGCCAACAGTTGGGCCACGCCTTCAGTGCGCCCAGGGTGTCGGTGCCGGACGACGCGGCGTTCAACAGTGCTCTTGAAAGAGAGTACAACGGGCATTGCAACTACTGGAACGGGCAGAACTCCGACGAGAAGTACGAGCATGAAAGGTACAAGGAGGGATTCACCACCGCGTGGCAGGACGGCGTCACGTACGCCAAAGCCGGGGCGCTTGTGGGGCGCAAGCAGGCGGTGAGATCGGCCCGCTTGCTGCAGCATTTGCAGAGCAAGGGCAGGCTGGCGTTTGTGTGGGAGTGGGAGCAGGGCTACGACAAGGGCTTGGACGAGTTCAGCAAGGCCATCCAGTGATGGGCGAGAGCGCCGCCGATACAGAGGCAGCTCTAGAGCGGGCGTTCTTCGGAGTATAGAGGAGATGTTTTTAGAGAAGATGCTTTAAAGAAGATGCTTTTAGAGAAGATGTGTTTTGGAGAATTGAGTTGAAGCCCACGCATCCGGACAGCCAGGAATGAACGTGGCCGTTGGCCCTGGGGCACAGGTTAGAAGCTTGCACATGGAATGCTTGCTCCGGGTACGCCGCCAAAAGCAGAAGCAAGCAAGCCCGAAGCGGACTCGTATTTTCCTGCACACAGCGTCCTTGCTGGCAACGCCGAAAGAGTCCTGCTGTTGAACAGGCGGTTCTCTCAAGGGCCTCTCGAAATTGGTCAAGCACCCGGGGCAGTTTCTGGCACGTGACGGCCATGGTGCCCTTTTTGGCGGATTTCTGGCGGGTGCCGCCGCATTTCATGGCATCACAGGTGGCCTGCAGTGCAGGCAGGAAACACCCGTCTGTCACCCAGGCTTTTTGTTAGAACCAGCCTGAAGCAACAGAAGAAAAGAAAAAAAAAAAAACACTTAGGAATA